TCATCCCTCCCAGCTTCTTAATAAAGATGCCTTTATACGTAAAGGTGGCTAAATCCCAGCCCCAAGAAAAGTCATGTACAATTGAGCCCCAAGGGGGGGGGGGCAGGGATATTGTTTTATACACTGGAACATCCCAAGCTCCTGAGTGAATGACACTTCTCATCACCCCACTCAATTCCATGGGTTCAGAGTTGAATTCTAAAAAGTGCAACCAAAGATGACAGGGGAGTGGCTGGAGGGAAGGGGAAGTCCACGGAGAGTTTAGGTAAATTTCCAAACAACATTCCCCCTAGTCCTACAATATACTGCATTATTTGTGAAAGCTGAAGACTAAAAAGGAATCAGATTTTCAACTTTGCCATCTAAAGTAGAAATTGAGTCTTATTTGCTGCACAGATTTTAGCATAAGTGCCATACCTCTTGTTTTACAATTTCAACAAGCAGCTTAACTTAAAAAAAAAAAAAAAAGCCTGTGCACTAAAGATGCCCTCTGGCTTAGAATGCCACAAATTTCCTCTGTCCACAAATCATTTCGATTCTCTCTGTCCCTAATCTCCCATCTGCCTCATTAAATGCTTCATATTCACCAAATGTAGATGGTTTTTCAGCTCTGATTACTTTCTCTAAAGTAATGAACCTCCACCTAGCCAGAGGAATGCTTCTGGCAAAGGAAAAGGCCAGGTGTGAAAACTGTACTGCAATGAAGAATAAAGCTCTCAACTAACCACAGCCATCCATGAGACTCCAAGGAGGCGGCAGCAGCAGGTGTTAGGGGCTCTGAGGTCTGTCCATTAGTCACCACTAAAGCATCACAGAGGACATGCACTCTGGAATCAGAAAGCCCGACTGAGCCCCAGCCCTGCTTTCAGTCAAGTCTTTCTCACTTACTGTCACTCCCTTAACCTGAGATCTCACCAAACCCTGTAAGATGGAGGGTATGTCCTACCTCAAATACTGCTGTGAGGAAAATAAATTAAGTAATGAATATAATGCAGTGTGGACGTAAAGTCTGTGTGCAATTTAAATTGCACACAAAGTCTATGTCCACCCTGTACATCAAGTGCATTTATTGAGATAGGTATAAATGTTAACTATTCTTAGCTATCTAGTAATCAGAAAAAGCACAATGGGCTGGTATCTTTAAGTCCTTTCCCTTCAAAAAAAACTGTTCCCTCCACAGTTATCAATGAAATGTAATATAAGGAAAACCCAGTTCAAATTCCAGCTCAGGGATCAACTCACATGCAACTTACAGCAAATCATATCACCTCCATTTCATCTACAAAATGGAAATAACATACCATACTAAACTTTGATGACCTCAGAGACAAGAGTCAGTGAGTTAACAGGTGATTAATAAAAGCTTTCATTTCCTCAAAGAAAAAGCAGTAAGTAAATCCAGAGCATAATGATTATTAAAATGCTACACCCAATATTGTGGTACATAAATAAGCCAATGATGGTTTTTACTTTTCAAGAACATTAGGTTTGATGGCCTTTTAATCTGTTCACATGGAGACTGTCATAAGCAGGAGGAGGAAAACAGCTACAGCTGCTGCTTACAGGGCCCTGTTTAGATGCAGGGGCCATCAAATCCAAGAACCTACCCCTATACACTGTCAGGCCTTGACCATCCTGGGCTACTCTTTAGATTCCAGTGCCTAAAGAAATTGGGTAATGCTTTTTGTTCTACTTGGACATGTCAAACCAACAATAAGCAAAATCCTCACCTGCAGGACTACTCAACAGACCCAGGAAAGAGTCAATTCTGACCATTTGCTCTCCTATACTGAGTGGTATAAGGCTGCTTCTAGGGCATACACCACCTTTTCTTTAAAAATGCAACACATGGCTTGGCGCCTGTGGCTCAAGCGGCTAAGGCGCCAGCCACATACACCTAAGGTGGCGGGTTCGAATCCCCAACCCGG